CAAATAAATAAAATTCTACCAGCAATAATTGTAATAATTTATCATAGGATTAAGATTAACAATAAACTGACTTCACACTGTAAAATCAGCCTATTGATTTAGTACCCTTTGATGGAAGTTAACAAGAAGACCGTAAAACGACACCAAACACCATAATTTATGTGAAATGTCAAAATGTGACATTTTGATGTCAAAACGGCCGCTATATTCTACTTTTTTTTTTAAATGATGATACTTGACTATATTTGAAAAAAAAAAAAAAACGATTTTTGACAGAAATGATGGGACAAAATTCTCAACAAAAGTTGATACGTTTATGCTTAACGTGTTCTTTTATCTCTACATTGATGACGTCATAACTGGTAGTGGGGGTCAGAAATTTTCTGGGTCTGGGGCGTTTTTTAATCTTTGATATACCTACTATCTAAATCCATAAGGGCACCTTCTCCGCCAGAAGTGGAATATTTTTATGAATTTCAAGACTAAGCCACCCGACTATTAAGTATTATTGAAAAAACTAAATACCTAACAAAGAATTTTGAAAATGAAGAAAAAGGTGAATCAAGACATTGTATGAATAGTATGTAGTTTCAATTATTGTTTGGGTTGCCTCGTGGGACTTGTTAATGATTAATTAGGTACTTATTGTACTGCAACTACCAACTAGCACCCATTGAAGACCACAAAATTAACTGATTTGATGGTTCCCGTGAAAACTATAAAACATACGCATAAATTAACAATTATAGCAACCTTATTAATGTCACATTGAAAGACAATCTCTAATTAAAATAATCATTATCCTATTTACTTCAAACGTAGTTGTAGATTGTCTACGTGCACCTGTTAGCGATTTTCCCATTCGAATACCTACTTATCAAATGAATGGTTCTTGTGGGTGAGAAATACCACACTATGATATACGGAAATACCTACTATAGGTAACTTACCGTTTTAAACCACAAAGATGAGTATTAACTCAGAGCCGATTAGATTTCTTGGAAGTAATCAGCAAAAAATAGAATGTTGTAAGATTGCCTTTAAAATTCAAAGTTGCAGTCGAAGGATCGAGGAGGTTGAAGTCAAATTTACTTTCAATTCAACATAAGCAAAAACTAGTTAAGATTTCATAGAAGGAGATTCACGCAAGGTTAGGCTTGGTGCATTTATAAGAAATTTCTAGCTACGTGACCCAGAAAAATGGTTCATCCAGGCTTATAAATTATAGTCAAATAGCAAAGCATTACTCATATTTACTTGTATCTACAAATCTTGTGGTGCATAAGTTCAACAAACAAAGAAGTACAAAAAACTACCTAATGCAAAAACCACCACGACCAATAACCGTAATAATGGTATATAAGACAAAAGAAAATATTTTTTAGCTTATTAGCGCTTGGCATTGACAGAAGGTGTGCAAAACTTTTCTTTTTATGTAAATATAAAAAAAAAGAATTAGCGCTAGATATCCGAGATTTATAATAATTTAATTTCAAGGGCATCATAATAATAATAATAAAAAATAACCTACGCAAGCTAAATCGTTTGACAGCGAACTCAGCTACGTTTACTTACATTTTAATTAGGTTTTTTTATGTTGGCAAATTATTTTCCCATTTGTGGGCAAAAATATGTCCTTTTTGTACTGGATTTTTATGCCTTGAGTGGTTATGTAGATATAGGAAAACTAAGTATAATTTTAATTCAATTCAGTTGAATTAGGAACTTTGCAAAAATTGGAATAATAGTTTCAGACCTTACTTCAAAGACGTCAACGCTTAGTTACCCTTATAAAAAATTCCCTATACCTACATTGAGCAAAGTTTGGTATTGGTTGCTTTCAAAGTTAAGGTATTGAACTTCAAAGTGAAGTCGACAAAGGCAGACTCTTCTCCAGCGAAAAAACGAGGAGAAAGACTTCAAATTATGATCAAGACCAGGGAGGCGGATTTGAAATTGGACACGATTGCACAAAGTGTAGTCAACTTTGGAGATGTATATTGATGCTCTCAAAAAGTATAAACCTAGAAATTCTTAACATTTTCAGCTTTGGAGTTCAAATTTGAATTTGTAATCTTGATCAAGTTATTTTGTCTAGCATTTTGCTTTCAACAAATCAATATAATTATTATTTTCATGATAAGAATCAGTATATTTAGGTATCTGAAAAAAAAATAAATATAACTTCCCTGTTTTGCACCCTTAGAATCTTGACTGGTTTTCCTTTTATTGTAGTTTCTGTATTTACAAGTGTGAACAAAGGTTCCCAAGTAAATGTTTTACACCTTGAAGTCTAATTATGCGTAGTTTCTGAGAAATCTAGATGTTTAGGAGCCAGAACTAAGAAATTGAAGGAACTAAATTTTTCATGCTCTAAAGTCTATCTTTGTTAGTCTTCTTTCTGCCCTGCAAGTTTGGAAAGTGTTACTATTAAAGTTTTTGAGCTATCCAGATATCCTGGATAGCAGCCAGGAGTGAGAAATTGGAGGACGATTTTTTGAGTATTATTATTATTATGGATAGTAGTGACAGGCAGATGGGTAACCGATGAGACCACTGAGTCTTTTAGTGGATTGTATATTCATAGTTTTCAAACCTATATTTGTATCTCATGAAATGGTCTTTCTATTTCAGTTACCCTAGATCGCATAGAACTTCCAAAACTCACAACGGAAGGAGTATTACTGTCTACTGGATCAGGAGACGTTGGTCAGTTAGGTCTAGGTCCTGATATTCTAGAAAAATCTAGACTAGCCTTGGTTGAGAGAAAGCATGAAATAGTTGATATTTACGCTGGCATAGTGTATGCTTAACCAAAGCAGTAGTACGAACAATTGGATGTAATGACGAAGGAACTTTGGGACGATTAACTGAAGACGATAATAACTCCTCTGTTCCTGGAGAAGTAGTCTTATCAGGAAAGGTAATACAAATAGTAGCTGGTGACTCGCATTCTGCTGCTTTATTGGAAGACGGCCGAGTTTTTGCTTGGGGCACTTCAGGGACTCTCATGGTATCGAGTCTCCAAAACAAAAACCAATCAAAGATTGCTATGGTTTTTTGAACGTATGTCTTAGCAATATTTTTCTTTAATTTTGTCAATGAGCTTTAATATCGAATCATGTCAAAAATCCTGACCAATGAACAATAATGTAAGAACGCACTTTCAAAAATCCATAGCAACCTTTGATTGTTTTTTTTTTTGAAGACCCGTTAGTATGGGTTTGTCATTTAATGGCAGTGAACGTCTTGTGTGACCATTTAGTATTTTTAACCAACACTGGAGAAGTTTGGGCTTGTGGTTAGATCTTTCTAAACCTAAATTTACAAGATTTTTATGGAACAAACTGTCCCAACATTTAGGTGTCTGCTTGAGACCATACAAAGATTCATAAATTTTACATACCAGATTAGAATTTTCATTCAGTCCCTGTGGTTGTATTATGTACACTGGCTTTTCTAGAGTTCCATATAAAAATGCAGAACTTACATCCAATTGGTGCACGAATAAATTATTTTCAAGAAATAGGGATAGTAATACACGAATCGTCACCATTCTAGCAACTGGTGCGTACACATCTTCATCAAGTGTTTGTTTGAATCCACGAGCTACATGCCTAGCCTTATTCACACTTTCACCATTGAGGTTCTTTTCACGGAATACCCATTTTGAATCAATAATCTCCTGATTTTCAGGTGCAGACACTAATTCCCATGTGCAGTTTTCTTTGAGCGAATCCAGTTCCTGATTTATAGCTTCTTGCCAGCCACCATCTTTCACTGCTTCATCATATGTTTGTGGTACATCAGAAATTGTTGCACAATAGAAAGAGCTGCCTTAAAATCTGCTTCAAACTCTAAGTCATAGCCTTTTAAGTGTTTAGGAAGTTGTCTGATTCTGGTGCTGGTTTTTCTGATGTTTTGTTCCATCTCATTTTGTCCATTTTCAAGATCTATAACTTTTTTTTGTTCTGAAACCTCGTTTTATTCGTCTTTTTCCTCGTCATTATTTAATTCTATAGTTTGGCCTCCATTTGTTATTTCATCAAAAACTACGTTTGTTCCCACCACTATATTTTCTCAGCTTCTGGTTCCCACAATCTGTAGCCATTATTGGTGTACCCAACTATTATCAACTTTTTACCGTAGGAGTCACCAAAAAGCTTGATTTTATTCAGTTTTGGTTTTGCACCATACCAGATTTCTGCAGGACATTGATGTTCTGGTTTTGTTAGGTACACTGCAGTTCTTATAGCTTCTCCCCACATGTTCCTATCTAGTTTCGCATCAAAAATAAGACACCTTACCTTTTCAAAGAAGGTTCTGTTGTATCGTTCTGCAACAGTGTACTGAATTTCTATTCCACTCTTGCTTCAAAATCTCTTAAATTCAGTGGTCGAGTACTCACCACCATTGTCACATCTCAATGTTGCAATCCGAGTACCAAACTTTGCTTCAACTTGGGGCACATATTTTGTAAACTTGTTGATAACCTCGCTCTTCTTCGACATCAAGTAAATTATTCCAAAATGCGAGAAATGGTCAATGAAGCTCACATAATACGGTTTTCCATCGTGTGTTGGTGCAAGGATTTATTGGTTTACAAACGTCCGTTGACACTACTTCTAAGATACGTTTTGGTTTTCTTTTATTTGGTATTCTTTCAAAACGCCATCTTGTTTGTTTGCCCTGAAGACAGACTTCACAAACACTAGGTGCAGGAAACTTGCATGAATGCCCCATTCGTCTATGCTGAAGCAACATTTCATTTGATGTCAAATGTGTTTGTGCTGTTTCAAGGAGTTTCAGTGCAATTACATAGAGATTTCCACATAGATGGCCTTTCAAAACCATTTTTCTATTTTTAATTATCTGTGCTTGCTTATCTGTGAACAGGACTTGATAACCATTTTCTTCAAGTTTTTGCACTGATAGTAGATTATGAAACAGATTATTACATAGGTACCCATACATTTTTTATTAAAACGTTTTGGTCACTGTCAGTTTTCGAGTTCAGCATTCCCTTTCTTTGTTGCTTGCATAGTCTTCCCTGGTTTTGCAACTTTTATTGAGCATGAGACTTCCTGCGCGTTAACTAAAAACTGTCCAATGCCGCCATCTACCAGATGATTCCTTGCACCACTATCTATAGTATCTATTATGAATTTGATCTCTCTATTGTTGCACTGGATTGCACATGATTCTTCGCTTATTTGTGAGATATCTTCACTTGTACCCTCTGTTAGAAATGTTATTCCCTCACCTGCTCTGTCACTACCATCAATACTTTCTTCAGCTATGGCGTTCATACTTCATACTAGCATATGACCCTCGACCCCACAGTTATGAGATTTGAATGGAAATAGCCTCCTTTCGTAATTTCCTGAGCTGAGGAATTTCCTGAATAATTTCCTCGAGAATGTCCCCTTCTTTTCTGACAGTTTTTTCTAAAACCTGCAAATGCTGCCTGGTCAGTGCTTGATTCACCTTCTTTATTTTCTTTTCTTGTTTCTTCAAGCAGCAATTTATTTTTTACAATATCTAAGGTGACTTTTGATTCGTCTTGGCAAAACATGACATCTATTGTCGTGACAACTGCTTGATATTACTCTGGCATTGCTGATAGCAAAGTCTGTTTTTTGTTTAAAGATAAAAGTCAAAATGACATGTTGGCAATGTTAAATTGTCAATGCTTTCAAATTTTTTATGTAGAAAAGGCTTGTGTTGCCAACATAGTTACTAAATTTTTGACTTAGGGAATTATCTTAAAAAAAAACAGACTTTAGCTGTGAGACTACTTCACTGCTCTCAATTTTTCCACCAGCCGCTCTCAATTCACAGACTGTTCGAAGGTAGTTAAAAAAATTTTTAAGGGGGTTTCGGCCCAAAACTTTAGCCCTCGAAGTTTCTTTTGTAGCATAACTTGAGTTGAAATGCTTTTCATAGTGTATGTGTTGCTCAAAGTTTCTAGGATTTCTTTAGCTGTCCAGCATATTGTCTGCTAGGCATTGCACTATTATATTTCGGGCTCTCACGTCGTCTTTCTCCGATGTTTTCAGTTTCTTCTCTTTTGCAGCTACATCAGGCGCTGAGCAGGGATTAACAATAGGGAAATCTATTGTCAAAACGTAGAGCACTCCAGCTTTCTCAAGGGCTAACTTAACCATAAATTCCTAGTTAGAAAAGACTGTGCCGTTGAAGGGCGTCACATTTATATGCTGCGGTGTTTGAGATGCCATTGCCATAACTTTCACTTCTTGAATGTCTACCGCAGTGAACTTTACTGCCACAACTTACACAATACTAAGCATTCACTTTACTTTTCAGTTTCTACTAACAGCCAACTATCGCTGGACCCATAACATATAGGAGTTTGAGGAATATAGTAGACAAAAGTTGGACTGCGATTTCTAATAATCTTTATTAATTATAAACTCAAAGTACACTTCTTGCTTTCTCTTGACAACAACAACAACTGAAAGTCAAAAGCTGAAGGCGAGTTCTCATGAGTGTAAGTTGACATTTCTGGCATAATCACGTGATAATATGGTGTAATTTGATTGGTAAAATATCCAGCATGGCGAATATTTTACCAATAAAACCCAACCATTTTATCACGTGATTACGCCAGGAATGTCAACTTACGCTAATGAGAACTCGCCCTAAACATTTGTTATATGTCAACTGTCGAAAATTGATTTTTGACAGATGGAGTATTTCAACACTATTATCGTAAAACACAAAAGTCCTTATTGTTACAACCATGCTTGGTTTTATGTATTGCTGCGTTCACAAATAAGTATGGCAATAACAACACTTTTTTCCAAGGTTGTGCAAAATCTCCTGTGAATATGTCATTCATAAGTGCGGCCAGAGGTCTCTTAGCAAACAATTTTCAAGAAACATAGAAAGGATCTCATCAAGTCCAGGGCTGGAATTCATCCTTAGGGACTTAATGGCGATTTCTACTTTTTCTGGGGTGAAATTTATGATGTTGATTTTTGATCGGGAGTAGGATTCAACTGCAAGTGTTGGTCGAATAGCTGTAGGGCTGAGTTTAGTAGAAACACTCTGGAATTGCTCTGCAACCTTCTGGTCAGATTCAAATGGGACTAGAGTATTGCTTTGTCAATAATACTGAAGTGGGTGTATTTAGAGTTGAGGTTAGAGTTAACATAGGAGAAGAACTATTTGGTGTTGTTCAATAGATTTTATTCATAGTATTTTCTTGCTGGGACTATACAGCTTTGACTTTATTATTTTGATGTTGGTGTGTTTGGCATATGCTTGTTGATTGTAAATCCCAAAGCCTTAGAAAATTCTTCGAATGAATGTGGGTTAGTAGCCTATGCAAGTTGTTGCTGAAGGGTTCAGTGTAATCTGTCTTCCAAAAGTTCTTTTTGTAGATTTTATGTGTAGGCTGTGCCAGGGGCGGATGGGGCCCCTCAGACCGGCGCAGGAAGTGGATTGAAACGGCGCCGCGCCTGTCCAGCAAAAAAAAATTGGAAAGCACGAGTGATCGACTTCTGCGCATACCCTCCTGTTGGGTTAAATATAGAAAAGGCGACAAAATTACTCTTTTTGCTGATAATCGGAGCCGCGCCGCTCGAAGGTCTGCTCTCACAAGTTACAGAAATTACAAACCAGTCACAGCGTTTTCGATTGGTGCAAACCGCCAACAACCAGTTTTCTGACTACATATTTTCAACCAATGAAATTCGCTCTGACTGGTTTGTAATTTCTGTGAGTGCAGACATAAGCTCTGTTTCCACAGAAATCACAAACCAGTCAGAGCGTTTTTGATTGGTCCAAATCGCCAACAACCAGTCTACTGACAATCAATCAATCAATCAATCAATGAAATTCGCTCTGACTGGTTTGTGATTTCTGTGGAAACAGAGCGTCAGTGTACGGAGACAAGATTCTCTTGTCGCCCGTCTTTTTCTACTCCATCACCAAAACAATCAAAGAGTGCTTTGATCACGGAAACGTACGTCGCATTATTGTTTATTTATTGGTCAGGATTTTTGACTTGATATTTTGACATTGAAGTTTATTGACAAAATTAACGAAAAATATTGCTAATACATACGTTTAAAAAACCATAGCAATCTATGATTGCTTTTTTTTGAAGACCCGCTACCTCAAAACGGAACACAGCAAGCACTGTAATTTGCCATGAAACATTAGGAATGGTATGGGCGCTTATAACATGCATACTTATCATTTCCGCAGTTCCAAAGTGGCCAACTGCCAAATTAGTTAATAAATTAGATACCTGAATCTGGCTTTTTTGCTTTTTCAATTATTTTGGAACTTCCCGCGGCGGCGCCAATCGGTGCCTGAAGGACCGGCGCACCGGGAAATCTCCCGGCTTCCCGGTGGGCCCATCCGCCCCTGGGCTGTGCAATTATTTGAAGCTGTGTTTTGGCAGTTATTACAACGTGGTCACTTTTTCCGACAGAAGAGCTGTTTCGTCGTTTCGGAAACCTTCAGAGAAAGAGAAATTTATATGTAGGTGACCTCTATGGTTTTTGTAGCTGATGTCCAGAAAGTCTTGAATACAGTGGCTGTGCGGATGTACTCCCAAAGTTTGAAGTTTCCCATTATGTACCATCGTCACCAAAAGTATCTGGGACACATATAATGCATAATAATCTCCTGGACTAATTCTACTGTCATTCATTTCAATGCATTCAATCCATAGTTTGACAAATATTTGACAGTAAAATTCATATAATAGGACAAGAGCTAAGTGATGCTGTCCCAGTTACTTTTGGTGACGATGGTACATACACCGGTTGTTTTATGGCCGTTTCCACCAACTATTTTAGGGAAGCCTTAACGATAAGTATTCCCTAAACGGACAGTTTTCCATGGAGAAATGTCAGTTTAGGGAATACTTATCGTTATAGGGCTCCCCTAAAATAGTTGGTGGAAACGGCCAGTGACATTGCATTTTCCATAACTTGTACTAGTTCTGTGTTGTGTTCCATGCCTGTTTTCTGTCGGTAATGGCCATTTCCACCAAACTATAACTGAGCTTTGATTAACTATGAAGCCTTAAAAGTTAAGAAAGACTCAAATATAATTTCGTTCCACCATAGTTTTTGAGTGCAAGCTTAGCTAAGTGTCGCAAAGCTTTGGCAACACTGCATATTAAGTCAAAGATTTGACTTTACGGATAGCAGTCAGAACTGAAAAATTGGAAGACCATTCCAAGATGTTTTGTCCTGCAAGTTTGAAGCTGCTGTTACCATTTGAATTTTGAGAAATTCATAATTTAATGAATGGTACAATGCGTAGGTATAGTAGCAAAGACTGGAATGTTGAAAACCTTGAGAATGTGTTAATTTTATTCAATTAAATTTGGTATCTAATGATTCCCAGCATTTAAAATGTCTTACTGATTTGCGGAGAAAGAAAGAAAGAATTAGAATTTATTGAATTAAATTACTCTCTGACTCTAGTTTCGCAATCTTTGGAGAAATGGGTTCCAACTACACACCAGCTTTTTTTTTTTAACCTTCCGACTTCTGAGTGTATCAAAATGAACATTTTATATCTGTCAAATAAATAATTTGAATTAACTTGTTTCCTGAAAATAAAAAGTTGAGAAACTGTACCTCTCTTTAATTTATAGCAACATTTTTTTCCAGAGTACTAATCCATCTGTCAAAACACCTCTGGGAATGTGAAGTTTACCTTTTAGTATGCCAATGAGCATCGGCTTCTTAGGTTATATACCTACTCAATGATGTAACAAAGTACACACGTATCATCATATATCATGACCAGACTACGACTTTCTTCGACTTCACTACTCTTGTTCGCAGAAGAGAATACTTTGATGTCTGTTCGGCTTCTAATATCCTACTACATAAAAAGCCACCAATGTCTCGAATGTTTTTATCTACAAACTCGAAGTTATCAAGACATGGAGTAAATCTTTACTACACATACCTCACTGTCGAACTTGGCACTTACTATTCAGTCCTGTCAGTAGAATATCTGCCAATGTAAATAAGCTCTGTGAGAGTTTTGACTTCTTAAGTTTATCTCAAGATAAATTTAAGACGCAGGCACGCAGGCCAAGTGAATTGCTTAAGGGTAGATTTTTTTTGGTTCAAACTGTAGGTATACAACTTCAAATGTACATATGTATATATTTTTTTATACGTAAATAAATAAAAAAATTGAAAAATAAATAATTGGTGTATCTATCAAGGTTGTGAGTTATTTTCAGTCTGCGGGCATCTTGAAGTTCTTTGAAGAACAGGAAGAAGATTTCATTGCTTTGACAGAAAAG